CTAGCAGGTTAGGACAAGAAAATGAAGGTGAGCTCGGGGCCCCAACTTCAGTGTGATGCCTGGGCCATGCCACATCACCTCCCTGGGCCTCAGAGCCACCGTGTGTAAGTGAGGGGCTTACACATCAGTGTTTTCAAACTGCAGACAATAGTTTGATTTTCATGGGCCAAAAAATAAATTTATTGAATTATGAACAGCATTTGTGATTAATGAGATAAAAAGACAAAAAATGTAGAAAATATTAGAGGACATTGCACACGGTAAGGAAGTATCGTTCATAAAGCATGTTCAATTACATATATACGTCCGTGTGTGCTGGCTCTCAGTGTCAAATTTATTGCTTAGTGTGGGTTGCAGTCAAACATTTAAAGTCGACAGATAACCTCCAAGTTTCCTGCTGGCTCTAGAATTTTGCAGTCCTACAGAAGTCATTTTTTGTAAATGGTTTTTCTTTTTTATTATTGTAAAAGATTCTAGAATAAAAGTTATTTTTGCCCTATTTACAGCACCTGGCACAGGGCCTTACAAACAGTACATTCTCAATAAATGTTTCTTATATTCCAAAGCACCACATGAACACACTTCAACGTGATCATGGGTGCCACCTTTCGGCTCCAGCAAAAGCATAAGTCTCAGGGCTGGGTGGCTGTCCCAGCCAGCGTAAAAACAGCCTCTTGAATATTGCTGCCTTTCAGCTTGAGAGAATAGAGAGCCCAGTAAATACCACAACCACACAGGCAGCAGCCTCTGCAGACACAAACTTTGATACTGAGGTGAGATGCTGGTTTCAGGAACAATCTGCTTCCATCACTGGAGAGATGAGTACTCTAGCAAAGGAAAAGCAGAGGAGAGGAAAAGGGAACAGATACATCCTAGAATTAGAAACAGATACACACTAAGTACTTGTCGGCAATGACTTCTAGGAGCATGAAACGTGATGGGTACTGCCTGCAAACTGCTGAGGAAAAGAATAAGAAGTATATAATTTTATGGATTGTCCCTTTACAATAGACGAATATAGAAAGCATGAAGGTCAGCACTTTTTCCATCAGGAATCACAATTAGGGAACACTTTTGTTTTCTACCTACCCTCCCCCCCAAATATAATCAGGTCTTCAAGTGAAAATTTCAGCATCCTGAAAGAAAAATGTCATTTCCTTCTAAATCACATTTCTTTCATCAGGTAATTCTGATGTTAGTTAAAAAGATGGAAATGGAGAAGGCCCAGTCTTTAAAGAATTTGTTGTTGTTAGTACCATCCAATCAATTCCAACTCCTAGTGACCCTGTGCACAACAGAGTGGAACCCTGCTCCGTGCTTTTGCGCCGTCCTCTCACCTTCTGGCACTATATCACTATATCACTATATCACTATATCAGACAACACTCTGCTACTATTCATAGGGTTTTCATGCCCAATTTATTCGGAAGTGAGTGGCCAGTTCCTTCTTCCCAGTCTGTCTTAGTCTAGAAGCTCCACTGAAACCTGTCCACCATGGGTGACCCTCTAGTATTTGAAATCCTGGTGGTATAGCTTCCAGCATCACAGCAACACAAAGCCACCACAGTATGACAACTGACAGGTGGGTAGTGTGGTTCCCTAACCAGGAAATGAACCTGGACCTTGGTAGTGAGAGCACCAAATCTTAACCACTAGACCATCAGGACTGGTTCTTTAAAAAATTAGGAAGTGGGGCCAGCCCAGTGGCATAGTGGTTGAGTTCGTGCTCTGCTTCAGTGGCCCTGGGTTCACAGGTTCGGATCCCAGGCACAGCCCTAGCACCGCTCATCAACCATGCTGTGGTGGCATCCTACATAAAATAGAGGCGGATTGGCACAGATGTTAGTTCAGCAACAATCTTCCTCACATAAAAAAAAAAAATTAGGAAGTGATATTTCTCTTCCAAAATGTAAGAACAGATCAGAAATAAAAACTTAACATTTTACACTGAAGCCTAAACATTAGGCTACGTGAGGAGCAAGGCTGGTCATGGGACAGGCTCATCCCCAAATGAGGGTGCCTGAGACCATGGGGCCACATCCCACACAGGTGAGGGAAGTCCATCCGAGTAAAAGAAATAATGTAATAGAGAGTATGCTGACAGGGGTTAGGGGTTGTCCAGGCCAGTGGGGAGGGACGTGGAGTGTAGACACAGTGAGATGCACAGGTTCAGGACGGCTGGCAGCTGGGCTGCTGTAGGCAGGACTTGTTGCCCTGGCAAAACAAGGTTTACGGAAACCACACACATGCTCAGAATCCGGGACAAGCTGGGCAGCCAGGTCTCAGGAAGGGTGGAGCCGCTGGGCTGAGAAGTGGCCATTCTCTTTTCTGCTGTCTGGTCTTTTTATCATGTGTCTCAAGTCTAGGTATAAATTAAACAACTTCAAATTTAATCCAACTAATCTACAAAACTAGCGCCTAAGTTCTTCGTGGTCTTTCAGCACTCATTACCAGACTCCAAACTCCCGGTTCCCAAAAAAAGAAGCAACTCAACTCTTCCAGCAACACACGCCTCCAGCCCGATCAGGATGGTCATCTTTAGGTCCCTTATCCAGCAGCTGTGGCTGGGGAGGGGAACGGAGCCCCAGGGGACTGGCAAGTCTCCTTAGACAGTGGGGCTCAGGGCAGGCAGGTTCCCCAAACCCAGGGGACCCCTGCAGCTTCAGGAAGTCCCAGCCCGGAGGAACAAAGAGACAAATACCAGCAGGGATGCTGGCACAGGGGAACCACACAGGTCCCAGGGAGTAAAACTGGGGCACCAGCGGGAGGCTTACTTACAGGAAAAGGAGAGCAGTCACTGACTGTGGGGCGCCCAGTGAGGGGACGACTGGAGACACGTTGAACCATTACCTCTCTAGCAGAGACCCAGCCATAGAGGCCTGCATGTGGTAGCAAATCAATAAAGAATATCTGGCTGTTTAATAAAGTAACTCAACCCCTTAGTTAGCTAAACCAGGTCTGCTTGCCTTCAAGGAAAACTTGGATCCATGTGTAAGTCAGGGCAGAAGCCCTCTGGCGTCAGAATCACGCGGGGAGCTTGTTTAAAATGCAGATACCAGGCTCCAAAAGAACCAAAAGGAATGCTGAGCGCCCCGGGGTTGGGCTCCAGAATCTATACAGCACTGTGGGCTACACCCTGCAAATGCGAGCCGTCTTGTTCCACTCAGGGAACTGTTGCCTACTAGATTATTCATCCTGAACTTCAGGTTAAAATGAATTTTCCTCCAGTTGAACAAAATGGAGGCAATGGGAGAGGTATTGGTGTAAATATACCTGGTGTGATTTGTCGCACTGTTCAGTGAGCTGTGGTCCATGGGTGGAGGTTATCTTGCTCCCGGGCTGCACCCTGGACCGGTTTTCCCAGACTCTGTTTTGCACACGGGCCCAGCTGCAGGGCCCGGCAGTCCCAGTTTCTGCTGCAATCCGACGGCAGGCTCGCAGCCCCACCCTCTGCCCACTGTGGCTGATAAGTAGGTCATTCTTTCCAGACCTGACATCTTGGACCCAACCAGCCCAGCTCCTAATTGCTTCTTGAAAGTGCCAGAGCCAGAGTGCCAGAGGTGAGCTCTGTGGGTCTGCAAATCTCTGTGTCCCAGCATCTCACCTGCCCTCACTACCTCCCCACCGCAGACCACAGGAATGGCTATTGCTGCATTTCCCTTACTAGTTTCTTTTCCTCATTCAGACACAAATATTTATTGAGCACCAACTGTATACCTGGCACTGAGAAACCGAAGTGAGAGAGTCCAGGGGTCTTCAGTTCTCCAAGAGTATGGGTGGTGGTGGTTGTTTTCAATTTTCTGTTTTCATTTCGATGATAATCATTTTTAAAAAAATTTATATTCTGCCATATAACTTAGAGTTTATATTTATATTGGTAAATATATTCTCACCAAGTGAAGGCCAAATGATACCACGTTATGATGAACAATGAAGGGTCCAAAATAATTTGAATAATCTAAGTCGTTAGAATGCCAAATGTTTTGGTATCCAAACTCAAAGAAACTTTGTAGTAATCAGAACCCCATTCTCATTCTGTTCATAGACCCTATTTTGTACCTGCCAACTTGTAAAACCTCATTTAGCGTGAATGTAGCAGTAAATGAACAGTGAGGCACTTTTCTTTCTCCTTCTAGCAATAATGCAATTAGACACTCACTTAATGCAGATTTCCAGGATGTGGCGATGCTCACCTTACTTTTGAATAAATAAGACAGTTCCACAGAGTTATCAAGTGGCGTTTCATTAAAATCGGCATTTCAGGAATGCTCAAGGGCAGAGTTTTAATTAACTATGAGGTCTGATTAGTCTGAACTAGCAAATAAGGCCAGGCTAACAGGCATTCTCGGCGTTAGCATTGAACCCAAAGGCCAAAGTAAATATAGAACCGAACCTGAGACCACATCTTCCTACCGTCAGACCCAACGTGACCAATCAGTTTCAGAACAACAGCATCATCTGTCATATTAAATGATGTGGCTTACTTGAACAATATTGGTTTTGCTGATGTGTTTGTGCTTCATTCATCCATTGGCCTTGTTTCTATGATAATAGCTAGTGCTTATTGAAAGCTGACTAGATGCCAGCTCTTTACATGGATTAGCTCATTTAATCCTCACAACAGCCCTGCAAGATAGGTACTGTTACCTGCATTTTACCAGTAAGTAAACTGAGGCACAGAGGTTAGCTCGCCTGAGGTTACACACCAGCTAAGTGGTGGCTCTAGGATTTGAACCCAAGTAGATGTGGCTCCAGAATCTGTGTTCTTCACCACAACACTGTACCACTTTATAATTATATCATTATAGATATATAACAGGACTGGCATAGCATGGAATATATATATTCCATACATGTAAGTGGAAATATGGAATTATGTAAATACTATGTGTAAAAGTTTACAGAGCTTTGTATTGTTACATACTTAAGTAGCGACAATAAAAACCATTAATCCAATATTCAGCTTGTGAGAATTTTATTTTTTTATTATTGAGGTATAATTGACATGTAACATTATATTGGTTTCAGGTATACAACATAATGATTCAATATTTGTATACATTGCGAAATGATCACCGCAAAAAGTCTAGTTAACATAGAATTTCCTTCTGATTAAACAAACGAAAAAGGCCTGGAGTCTATTCCAGTGAAAGAAATGCTGGTTTAGTGGTTTCTGCTCAGGGTAACTGGTATCCAGCCTCAATCCCAGTGGTGACTTACAGGAAGAAGGGGCTCTGAGACCCAGCTTAGCTCTGCAAGTCCTCCTGCTCCTCACATGTCCCTCTCCTCACACTCTAGCACCCCCTCCTCACTAGGGAGGTCCTGCTGTGTGTGGACCCCTGAACTCTCTGCTCACTGAGCTCCTGAACATTCCCAGTGCCTAGATTCTGGTGATGGGTTCTGCTATTAGGTCAGATCTTTGGTATGAATGGAAGCCTGAGTCACAGCTCATTTTTCAGTCTGTGAGCCCAACACATTGCTCAGCTCACCCCACCCACACCCACACACCCCCTTCTGCAGGGCAGGTGAGTTCCCCTACTCTCTCCCACAGCGGACACCTGACTGTGGGATCTCTATCAGGATTAGCTTCCTCATCCTCCTTCTCTCCTCCCGGTCAGACTCATGTTGCTGCAGTCCAGATGCCTCTCCTTTGGCTCCGTCGAAGTCTCAACAGCATATGTGATTGCACTGCCCAAGTCACCAGGCCACTATTACAAAAGTGAATTATGGTATTAAAACTACATTTCAAGGAAGTTAGGAAGATGCAAGTAATAAATGCTTCTGTGCTGCTGGAGGGCCCATGAATGACTATCCTCTCCCTCTTTGCCAATGCAGAAGATAAGAAGCATAATTACAAGTTAATTAAACTGATTTTTGCATGTGACTTGGGAATTATGAAATTATAGAGCTGACAGGGTCCTCAGATTTAGATCCTTCAGTTACAAGTTGCATCGCTTGCTTATGAATATTAGCACTTTTACTAGCAGCCAACGTTTCAACCTTAAAAATTGAACCTTGGTGATCTTGATGCTCTTGGATAGAGTACCGTCCACTGTCCAGTCCTCAGCTTCTTGAGTGACGAGAGGTGGTCACAGGAGCAGCCAAGTGCCTTCCTGCTCCCTGGGTCACAGCTGTGGCACTGTGTTCTTGAAGTCCCTGTGATGGTCCACTACTGGTCCACTTTCCTGATGGTGGCAGAAGAGACAGTGCCCCTGGCAGGCCAGTTTGGAAGTGTGTTCCAGAAGCCAGTCCTGCAGCCTGGAGCCTGCTTCTCCAGCCTTTCACTGATTTTTATGTTCCTAATCCATGCATCAAATTCCTTTTCTGCTTCAAATACTCAGAGTGGTTCCTGTGTCCTCACAAGTGTTCCTGCTGAGACCCATGCACTGATTTATGCGATGTGAACAACAACCCTATGAGAGAAGTACTATTATCCCCTTTCACAATCTGAGGAAACCGAGGCATGAGGTTAACTAGCTTGCTTCAGGTCTTATATAGAAAGTGTGTTTCTAACCCAAACAATCTGGCCCCACAGCCCATACTCCAAAGGCTACACCTTCTCAGTATGCTACTCCAAGAAGCAGGAATTAGCGGTGCCTCACTGGACGTGCATTTTTTCTCTGACCTGATGTTAATTCCACTCGTGATTCAGATCCCCAGAAGAATCTGATTGGCTAAGCTTGGGTCTCAGATCTCGCCCCCTCCCTGATTGACAGTTTCATCAAGACTGTGTGCCACGGAATAGGGTCGTTCCCCCGAAGGAGAGTCTGGCAGCTGTTGGCAAAGGGCAGGGAGAGGGAGGCTGGTCAGACCAAAACAATGTCCAATGTAAGAACCAAAACTGATCTGAATCTGGTCACTGCTCCAAAGTATCATGATTGAAATAGACAAATGAAAAACGCCCAGGGGTTAAGTGGAAACTTGCCTTTGTTCAGTGATTAAATAGTCCCATATGGACCTTGAAGACCACTCCTGAAGTGTGAAGACTTTTGTAAAACATCATATGTATCCCCTCGGAGCTGCCATGGAAGGAAGCCAGGCACTGTGGAAGGGAAGGTGGAAGAGACACGACACTGAGGATGCGATGCCTAGGTGCCGCAGCCGGCCAGCCTCACAACCCCCCACCCAAATCAGAGGGGAACTTCTGGGAGGCTCTGGTTGAAGTCCCTGCAGAGCTTGGTGGTGGCACTTCACAAGCTGTCACAGCAACTAGCTAGAGAATGTCCTGCACCAGAATTGTACAGGCCTTAGCAGTGGCCTGAAACAGACAAACGAGAAACCTGATGCCCACACCCCCCCAAATCAGAATTAATCTCTGGGCACCTGGTGGATCCTTCTGTTTCTGGACATTTTTAATTTGATTTCAGGAATATAGTTCATGGTGCACTCGAGTGGTTCCAACATCTATCTCTTATTTAATACTTTTGAGTTTTTGTTTAAAGATTTTTCCAGAACTTAAAAAATAAAAACCCTTCTTTCTCTCTCTCCCTGCTTCCCTCCTATCCTCCTCACTCATGATACAATTTGTCTCTAACAGTTTTATTTTATAATCCCTTTCTCCCAAGACAAAAAGGAAAACTCAGGTTTGTAAAACCCCGTACAGGCACTCTTTGTTGCTTTTATTGAGATTTTCCCTTGCCCATCATCCCCTGGGATTTTTCCATTGATTCCTTTCTATTGTTCTTCTCTGCTTTCTGCCGAAGGTTGATTATGCGACTAAGAGGTGGTTGCAAAAACATGTCCCTGAATATCACATTCTTGCAAAGCTCTGCTCTTTTCCCAGTTCAGATTTCAAGTTTTCACTTTTCCTACAATATAAGTAATCTCCCAGCTATAAATTCATCAAACCTCAGTGGTGGAGACTTCCCTCCCCATTCTGTTCATTCCCTGATGTGGCCAAAGTAGGATGGTCTCAAGCATCATTTTATGAAGTCCCCCTTTCCCCATGATCCAGACCAAGGGACATAGGGTAGAAAGGGGAGGAGAATTTACTATAGTTGAGGGCAGCCTCTCACAGCAGCAAAGCAATTTATCACTAACCAAAAGGACACTAGTGCTTTATCTACCTGTGTAGATAAAGTCGTACCCAGGAAAGAGGCAGAAATCTATGAACCCTGGGAATTCTTTCTTCTTTTAGAATAGGAAGAAAGACTTTCAGGAAGGTTGGGTCTTGCCTGATATGCCCAGTCATTCATGAGTAGAGATCAGTGCTGTTTACCATATTAGCTGAGAAAGAAAATGTGCAGGGGGATGAAAGGAGGCAAATATTGTCGCTGACAGTGGTGACCAATCAGATTTCCAAGGGTCAAAGCTCTCTGGACATTCAGCGAGAATTTTCTAAAGCTTCTCCTAAGTTGCTAAACAATCATCTCCTATAGCAAATAATTTTATCAACCAAGAGAACAGTAGGGCCTTGCATCAATGTAACCGCTGGATCTTAAGTTAACACGAGGCAAGCCATCTTAGGGAAAGGAAGCAATATTGTAACTATGACCCTGACTCACCAGTCTCTGTGAATATATTCTAGCCTGCATGTAACTGGGTGATTAAGCACCTCTCGCTTTTACAAAATGCTTGATCTGCTAGTTCTACGACTCTTGCTTACGGCTATCTCCCAGCTGTGATAAGACAACTTTGTTCTCTGAGCTCCCCAGGAACACGAGGACCTCCAGAGAGAAAAATTCTGCGTTGCTACCCATCACGAACGACAGAAGAAAGAGACAATGTGGGCCTTGAAGTTTGTCACACCGGATGGTCGACGCCCCTAACCCCCCTCCTTCCCTGCCTCTTTCCCCAATATAACCGCCTCAAGATTCTGTATGATTTTAAGATGGTTCTTCAGGACACTAGTCTGCCATCTTTTGATTATGCTAGCTAATCATATAAATTTTCCTTTCTCAACCACCGTCTTGTTTGCATTTGATTGGCACCAGATTGTGGCGAGCAGAACAAGCCCCTTTTTGCTCGGTTAGGTCAAGGCGCAGTGAGACAGATCACTTGAAACGATGAATGCGCAGCAGGACCAGTCACACGGATAGAAACTATAAGCATGGTGGCAGCCATTCATTGGGGCGCCAAAGTGGAATCCCTCGTAATGGAGTGTCACACTCAGAGTTGTGCCCAGCCTTGCCACGGCAGAAGCTCAATTCGTTCACTTCAAAGTGCCAATAAGAAGTCCTCCCTGAATGGTGGTGCTGTCTCGAATTTCTTACCTCTGTGACCTTGAGCCAGGGCACGTTCCTTCTCCACATAGGACATTAAAAGGAGACAAGAAAGTATATTTCCTCTTTTCATATCAGGATCTCAAAAACAATTTATTTCACCATCTCTTTTTTTATTTTTTAATAAAATACACTGATGTAATGCCAAATGTTATGAAGATATTTGGGGAAAATCTACCACTTCACCAAATCACTCCACCAAAGCTTCCGTATCAATTTATCCTCCCTTTTATTTTTGCAAAGTTAAAATCATAGTGTAGGTGCCAGCCTAGTGGTGCAGCAGTTAAGTTCACATGTTCCACTTTGGTGGCCTGGGGTTCACCAGTTTAGATCCCAAGGGTGGACCTAGCACCGCTTGGCAAGCCATGCTGTGGCAGGTATCCCATATATAAAGTAGAGGAAGATGGGCATGGATGTTAGCTCAGGGCCAGTCTTCCTCAGCAAAAAAAGAGGAGGATTGGCAGCAGATGTTAGGGCTAATCTTCCTCAAAAAAAAAAAAATTATAGTGTATATGTAATCCATTTGTCGGCTCTTTTCATTTATCATCATGGCAGGCATTTCCCCATTTCAAGTTTCGTAATCATAATTTTTAACAAAAAGATATGTCATGGGGCTGACCCCGTGGCCGAGTGGTTAAGTTCATGCACTCCGCTGCAGGCGGCCCAGTGTTTCGTTGGTTCGAATCCTGGGCGCAGACATGGCACTGCTCATCAAACCACGCTGAGGCAGCGTCCTGCGTGCCACAACTAGAAGGACCCACAACGAAGAATATACAACTATGTACTGGGGGGCTTTGGGGAGAAAAAGGAAAAAAATAAAATCTTTAAAAAAAAAAAAAGATATGTCATATTGTTGGCCTAATTTAGTAAATCCTTTCCCTATTGTTCATCCAGGTTGAAAGAAATCCCTATTAGCACAAGGTCAGAGAGGCTTGCATTTGCTATTAATAATAGATTTGGGAACTCTATTTGGAGAATATTTACTATAAAAGCTCTACATGACTCCCCCTGATGCAAGAGTGAGGCCAACTCAGCTGGAATAAGCTCCCACTGCAGAGGGCTTTGGAGCTTGTGGAAAATTCCAGAAGCTGCAGCTCCCTCATAGAACCGGGACTAGGGTGAGAGGAGTGAGGTACACACCCCAGGTGCAAAAACCAACCAACCAACGAAAATGTCTACATGACAAATTTGACCCATTGTTAGTTACATTTAATATGGCTTATCTTTCACCTTTAGTTACTAGGACTTAAACCTTTAACATGAAAAAAAATTTCTTTTAAAATAACTTGAATCATAACTTTTTTTATTCTTTTTTCACTGAAAAAGGAAGACATGCATATGGTTTAAAAAAAAATCCAAACACAGAGCAGAATATCTCAGATCCCCAGACATCTATCCTTCATCAAGAAGCAAGCATTTCAAATAGTTTTTTCCATGTCCTTCCAGAATTTTTCTTTGTATATACGTATATATTTATATGTGCATGTCCCTTTTCATTGTTTAAACAAATGAGGACACACACTATATTGCACTTGCTATTTTCGCTTGACCTCAGCTCTCTGATTGATTCATCTTGGCAAATATAATCTACTTCATTATTTTTTAAAGAGCTGAATAGTTTTCCACTATATGAAAGTGTTATAATTTATTTAGCCATTTCCCTATTGAGAAACATTTTCACGGTTTCCAGGTTTTGGTTTTTGTTTTGTATTACAAATACTGTTGTAACCATAACATTTTTTGATAGATTCAGGACAACCAGAAGTCTTAGATTTCCTGAGCAGTCTTTTTTTTTTTTTTTTTGAGGAAGATTAGCCCTGAGCTAACATCTGCTGCCAATCCTCCTCTTTTTTTGCTGACGAAGACTGGCCCTGAGCTAACATCCATGCCCATCTTCCTCCACTTTATATGTAGGATGCCTACCACAGCATGGCCCGCCAAGCCGTGCCACGTCCACACACGGGATCCAAACCGGCGAACCCCGGGCTGCTGAAGTGGAACATGCACACTTAATGGCTGTGCCACTGGGACAGCCCCCTGAGCAGTCTTAATTTAATATAGATCCCAGAAAGGTATTTGATAAAACTTAACATTTCATTTCTGATTTTTTAAAATTCTCAGTAAAGAGAAAAAGTTTTTTTAATTTTCCTATTTAATAAGGAAATAATGGAAACTTTCCCATTAGAGTCAGGAAAAAGACAAAGATGCCCACTCTTACTGCTATTGCTTAGCATTGCTCTAGAATTATTAGCCAATGCAAAAGAAAGACAGGTATTAAAATTGGAAATAAGGAGGTAAGATATCCCTATCTGTGATGATGTATCATATAACTGGAAAAACACACAAACAGCAAATCAACAGAAAAACTATTAGAAACAAGAGCATTCAGTAAGATGACTCTCAAACTCTTCATGACTGGTAAAGTGGCGCAACCCTTGCGGGGACATTTTGGACTGTCTGTCAAAACTAAGTGTTCATATATCCGTTGAGCCCATTAATTCCACTTCCAGAAATGTATCTTTCAAACACACTACCCCATGGGTTCAGAGGCTCATAGGACAGGTATGTATATATGTGCGTGGATATGTTCACCAGAGCATTTTTTATAATAGTAAAAAGGCTGGAAACAACTTGTTTAAGAGGCTGCCTATACATGTAAGAGGTGGTATATGATATAAGCATATAATATTTTTCAAAGCATAGCCAAGAAATTGATCTCAGTGAGTGTCTCTAACAAACAAAACCTAGAAAGGATGAGAAGGAGCTTTATTTTTCATCTTAGGCCTTTTGTACAGTTGGAATTTGCCATGTGCCCCTCAAA